TCGGTTATGAGATGCTTCGGATGCACACTCACTGCGATTAGATATATTGTTTCCAGCAATGCTTCTCGAACCACCGTTTCTTGCTAAAATGTAATTATCTGTAAACAACGATCAACATGCAGAATATCTTCAATGCCCAAATGAAATGTGCCATTGCATTCCTACAAAATCGTGGAATTCATCACAAAACGAAGTAAACAGCAACATACTATGAGTCAGGCACGAACTTGTGTTTATTATACAACTTATCAAAAGATGCCTGTTGGTGGTCTGGGACTACAAACTGCAAAGCGTAAGGGAGAAGCGAAGCCGTTCATGTTCATATTTGAGACACAAACAAGACAAAGAAGACAATTTTACGTTTCTGGACTGAAACACGCTTGGAGCTATGCTCTCAAAGCTTAACCTCACTACCTTGAGTTCTTAGATTCGCGCAGATGCAAAAAAACCACCACGAAATGTTCAAGTTACCCTTGGATTTTCCATATAGCGCCGCAGGAAAACTAGCACAGTTTGTTCGAGCCTTTGTGTCACGACATCTGTCGGGCAATAATACACCACATAACCTATAAAGGACCTTTTGACAAAAATGGCTTCGTTTTACAAATTAACTGTTTTGAAATACACCACATGAGATAGAAGTAGTTACCATAACTGAGCATAATTGTCGCACGTAGACTGACCATTTCCTGATCAGTATATTGTTTATATGGCATAGCATCCTGAAACGAAAAGTCAAACTTGAAAATGAAGATAATAAATTTTGAAAGAGAAAGAATTTAGTTCTCCTTGTCTGGGAAAATTCAGCACCGGCACATCAGGCAACTAGCTTAGCAAGCGAGTTTTATGGCCAGCAAATCACCTGCTGGTACTCCTGCTCAAAGTGCCAATTCTGCATTGCTAAAGCAATAATGTACAGGCAGGAAGGATACACCTAGTAGCTGTCCTGCATCATACTGACCACCAAATTGCCGCTAAATAGAAAACATGAAAAAACAAGACTAACCTTGATGAAACCGAACAATCCGGAACTTTTTTTCAAATTTTCCCACTTTGCGATATTTTCCAGTTCAGTGAGAACCAAGTCGGTATGAGTGCTGGCACAAAAGCCAATGGCCTGAGCACAACCGGTGCGTTCAGCCTGTTGCGCATGCGAAGTGCAACGGAATAGCAGCACAAGATGGTCCACAACGAAACTTGTGTTTGTTGTCAGTGATAACGCACCGCCGAGACATCGCATCAAAAACGCCTAAAAGCAAAGCGGTGGACTTTCTGAGCTGGAAGATCTCTTGCAGATAAGACCATCAGAATGCGCTTATGCGTGTACGTTCTACTGCATAATATATATACGTTGAAACGCACACAAACGTACACACCACGCACATACATATACATGGACATGCAAACGGACACACACACACACACACACACACACACACACATACATATGTCTGTGCGCATCGGTACACGCATATAGGCAGAGATAAAGGAATTCGGACTTTATCCTATCGTCACTGGTTTTAAACAAGTAGTATGAACAAGCTAAAACAGGCATTCTACATAGAGCTGGTTACTCACGTTTATTGTACACGCTACAGTGTGGATATATGCATCATATCAGGACTAAGCAACCTTACAAAGCTTCACTGGATGTGTGGGCTGCTCATAAACAAAACTAAACAAAAATTGGCACTTTATTTCATAGAAAAAAGTTCTAAAAAACAATAAAGCGTCTGCACAGTCTCCTGATGTGCTGCATATATCGTCTTCAAAATGAACAAATTTAGTAGATAACCTTATCATCGGGCGCATCGCCGTACAAATTCAACTGTTTTCCCATTGCAGCGGCAAGCGCACATCGCCACTCACCATCATTAACATTTTCCACACAAATGTGCAGTAGGTCGAGTACGTGCGCATGCCAGCGTGCAACACGCGCCAGACGAAGCTCTCCGATGCCATTGCTGCAGCCGCTACTCACCAACCCTGGAGGTGAGAGATCTGAAATTCGTAAAAATGCTATAAAATCGCTCCAACTACTGTCGTAAAATTCTCAATATTATCGCTTTGATGAGAATGGTGCGCTTCTTTGCGTTCCGACCAGAAAGATAATTATCACTGCTGGTAAGTGGAAGAATTCATGTGTGATACTCACTTTCTAAGATTACCAAAAGCTCCTCAAGACGTTTCGGTATCACTTCTGCCAAACAGCTGTGAAACCATGGTGCCAAAACACTCAACAATCGCAGTGCTTCAGCAGCTCTTCTCGACA